TCAGAAGGGGATTCGACTTGATGGGGGTGGTGGAGTGGGGATGTGTGCAGGGATCGGTCTATAATGCACAAAATGCTGTCTTTTCAACAGATGCCTTTCTTAACAGCAAGAAACAAGGCTTGTTGCTTTTCTTCCCGCTTGGAGAGATGCAAGAGCGCTGTTCTGGGCTTTGGGCCATTATTTCCTGAGAACGGCTTCCTTTTACCTGGGTGGCTTACTCTGGAGCCGTGGTAGAACGGAAAGAGCCTTCCTTGATCTTTTCTCAGTGTTAATGACAGTGTGATACAAAACTACGGTGGACTGTGTTAACACATTACAGTATATTTCTATAACAAAACAGCTTCTTAATAGCAGGCTCGTTATCCTGAAGGTCAAACCGTGTCACTGTACATAAAAGACCTCTGAGGCTCCCTTCATGACCACACAGATGCTCTCTCAAACCATGCTTATCCGAAAATGCCTCTCTCTGGTACAGCAGCCCTCTGCCCTTTCCCAGCCCCTCTTTCCTAAAGGGTGATGATGCCCAGGGCAGGCAATGCATGTTTCTGGAATGAAAGGGATCCCTTCTGGTAGGCAAGGCTAAAATCTGTATTGATGGTCTCAGTCTTTCCAGCCTCAGCTCCCACACATGACCATCAGCTGCCCCCGCCCACACCTACTGTGTGTCTGCTGTCAGTTAGTCACGTGCCCAAGGAGCATTCATGAACTCATTGTTGCAACCACTGTGGCTACTTCTGTTGTCCAATGCGAAGCTTACCTCCCATTCTTAAGACGATTTTCCCTCTGTGTGAGTCATTGACCATTGAGAACTTCCTCCTTTGCTTGATGAGTTAACATTTCCTGTATGCATCCTACTGATTTTTAAAACCAGATAATGAGCTCCCTCACATTGATGACCCTTGGCCTTTGTAGATGCTTTAGGCTGCCGCCTCTCAAGTGTTAACGTGCATAGGTGTCACCCAAGTCTCTTGTCAGAAGGCAATTTGTTTCAGTAGGTCTGGTGTGGGCTCTGAGATGCTGCGTTCCTATCGACAAAAGTCTTAATGCCTTCTTACAGATGAGCCAAAGACTCACCAGGAAGTAACCTACACTGACCGCAGAAGAGTAGGTCCAGAAGGAAGGGGGCCAGGTCTTTGGACTAAGGCTCCCTGGGAGCCACTTTCCCTGGGGATGAGCCTGCATCGTCTAGTTCTTAGTGCACCTTCTGGTATAAAGGAGAGAGCACTGTGCACAGTGCATGCTTGGTAAATACTCATTTCCCAAGAGCATTACCAGACGATGGTTCCTTTACACGGCCGTGATGCCCACCCCAGTTATTTCCTCTGTTCCGCCTCTGCACCACCACACTAGCCCCGCTTTCAGCTGGCAACATTGGCTTCACTTGTCTCCCAAAATAAGATTCTGAAAAAATTTGACTTTAAACCCTTTTTCAAAAGGCATTAAATCATGACCCCGTCTGGTGTTAGTCAGCCTGTCTTTCCAGGAAAACACATCAACTTGCAACATCTCTACGTTACCAATCATGGAGCGCTCAGAAAAAACCTTAAAAGCTCTTTGACGAGATACTTGGAAGAAGGTATGGCAGATAGTAGGCATCTGGAAAGGGGTGAAGGCGATGTATAAAGCTGAGCATGCTCTGTAAGTAAAGAGTATTTCTGTTATGTATTTACATTCATGTTTGGGGGCTGCCCTTGCACATCTAGACGGTTTCTCTAAAGTGCTAGAGGTTTGGAGCTGGCAGGAGCACTATCGTGTGCAGAGGACAGAGAGGGAAATGAGGCCAGACTGGCTGACACAAGGGGCACAGGCAGGAGGCCACGCGGGGCTGTGGAGGCCCAGCAGCCTTTCTTTCCTCTCAACTGCTCTGCGTCCACCTCCTTTGTAACCGGACAGCAAAAAGTGGTATAGCACCAAGCAGGCAGCATGCATGCAGTGGTGTTGTTAGGTGCTAATTCATCGCTTTGAGAGTCTTCCTCTTTTTCGCTGCCCCTCCACTTTACCAAGCATGATGTCCTTCTCCAATGACTGGTCTTTCCTGACAACATGTCTAAAATATACAAGCCCAAATCTTGGCACCCTTGCCTCTAAAGAGCACTCTGGCTGTACTTATTCTGAGACAGATCTGTTTGTTGTTTTCATAATCCCTGTCTCTTCCAATACTCTGTAAGTCAGAGGCATGAGCCCTTCTTTGGCCTTCCTTCTTCAATATCTGACTTTACATGCATACGAGGTGATTAAAAGTACCATGGAGTGTGGGTCAGGCACCTTAGTTTGAAGAGTACCCTCCTTGCTTCTCAAAAGTTTAGTGAAGTCTTGTGCAGCAGATTTACCTAATGCAATGCTTGTTTGACCTCTTAACTGCTGCTTCCAGGAGCATTGATTGTGGATCCAAGGAAGACAAAATATCAGACAACTTCAATCTTGTCTCCATTTGCCATGATGTTCCCTCCTGGTCCTGATGTGAGGATTTTGGTTGTCTTTACACTGAGTTGTCATCCATATCAAAGACCACAATGCTTGATGGATCGGCAAGTGTGCTCCAAGTCCTTACTTTCAGCAACATTGTGTCATCGGCATCGCTCAGGCTGTTAATAAGTCTTCCTCTAATTCTGATGCCACATTTTTCTTCATATTATTCAGATTCTTGGATGATTTGCTCAGCATGCAGATTAAATAAGTATGGTGAAAGGATACAGCCCCGACACACACCTTTACCGATTTGAGAACAGGCAGTCTTTTCTTGTTCTGTTCGAACAACTGCCTCTTGATCCATGTACAGCTTCTGCAGGAGCACAATGAAGTGTTGTGGAATTCCTGTTTTTCTCACAGCTATCCATAATTTACTATGGTCCATACAGTCCAATGCTTTGGCATAGTAAAAAATGCACACGGAAACATCTTTCTGGTATTCTCTGCTTTCAGCCAAAATTCATCTTCTATCAGTGATGATATTCCTTGTTCCATGTCCTCTTCTCAATCTGCCTGGACCTTTGGCAGCACCCCATGAATGCACTGCTGCAATGGTTGTTGGACGATCTTCAGCAAAATTTTACTTCCTTGTGGTATCAATGATATTATTCTACAATATGTGCATTCTGTTGGGTCACCATCTTTGAATAAGTATAAATATGGATCTCCCCCAGTCAGTTGGCCAGGTAGCTGTCTTCTAAATTTCTTAGCATAGCTGAGTGAGTACTCCCAGTGCTTCTTCAGCTTGTTGAAACATTTCCATTGGTACTTCATTAATTCTTGGAGCTTCTTTTTGGCTAATGCTTTCACTGCAGCTTGAACTTCTTCCTTCAGTAACATTGATTCTTGCTCATATGCTACCTCCTTAAATGGTGGGATGTTGATAGAATAATACCTATCTATATACAAGGGAATCTAATCAATAAAACTATTATTTCAAAGGGCAGCTCAAAAAGACAAAAGAGGAGCTGACAATAAGGGCTCAAGTAGAAACATAATGGTTTGAAAACAATGATGGCAACATATGTACAAGTTTGCTTGATGTAATTGACTTGTGGATTGTTATATCTGTAAGAGCCCCTGATAAAATGATTTAAATTAAAAAGACTAAGTAATGAAATGTGCAAAGGCCTAGAGTTAAAAAAACAAACCCAAAAAGGAGAACCAACCAAGGGCTCAAATACAAAGCAAATGTTTAGAAAATGATGATGGCAACATATGTACAAATGTGCTTGATACAATGGATGTATGGATTATTATAAGAGCTGGAAGAGTCCCCAGTAAAGTGATCTTAAAAAAATAAAGGAAGAACATGCTCAGCATAATTCATGCGAAAGGACTAAACACGATGCAAGCCTGAGTTGTAATATGGAAAGATGTGATAGACACACTCTTGACTGATGCGTGCTCTTCCTCTGTCTTTTCATGTTTCTGGCATCGTCCAATTATTTCAGATTTCCTAGGGTATGGATCGATATTATCTTGTCACTGACAGCATGGCACTTCAAGATAGGTTTTTGAAATGCCCTTTTTGTTGATGAACACAATAGTATTCTTCTTGAATGTGCCATTCCCAGAACAGTAAATCATATGATATTCTGCTTCAATGCCCAATACCAGTCCATTTCAGCCCACTAACCAGTGATATAGCTTCCAGCATCCTAGTAGCAAGCTAACACCAGTACAAAAAAACTGAGCAGTAAGTGGTGGGTGGGGTGTGTTTCAGAGTGGGAATGAAGTCATTTTCCCAGAACACTGTGCCTTGGAAGGAGACTGGCACTAAGTCCACGCGTCCTTGTGTTCTCTGGGAGAGATGAAAAAAGGAGAAGTCCCGAGAGGTTAAGGGAAGACACTGGCAGCCGTACAGCTCATCAGGAGCAGGGAGTCTATCGTGCTAACCAACTTGTGTGGCTGACGAGCTGTGTCAACAGGGACCAGTGCCAATTGCTCTTTTGTGTAACTGGAAACATTGCCTTAATTGTGAACTACTCATGGTCATTAAGAAGTGCAAAGGTGCTTGGATTTTACAAATATGTCTTGATCTCAAAGTAAGTTGCATTTCATTCAGGGGAACAGATATGTCAAATCCCTTTGTGTCAATGATTCCCAACAAGGCATCAAATTTAGACAAACATACAGAATGACCACTCAAATTAGAATAAAAAGATGTTTAAAATTTTTTTCATGATCTTTCTGTCCTGTCAGGAACATTAGTCCACATAAATCAGCATTTCCTTGGTAATACCTGGGGGGACCTTAAAGTACTACGGTTCAGAGTAGAAAATTAGAGAGCTTATTAGTTAATCTGTAATTTTAGAACATATTTCGAAGCCTAAGTATGTTCTCATAGATCAACCATCACTATTATCTACCTTAATTCTTCATAAATGACACTGTGCAGATAGGGACTAAATCTTACCATTAGAATGTAAAACACGCAAAGGGAAATGAGTACGCTGGGAAAGCAGCTTTCTCTGGGTTTCCTCCCAGCGGTGTGTCTAGGGGATGGGGAAGGGTGGTGGTCTCTGTACCGTTCTCCAGCTCGTAGTCCGCGAAGGCTAGTTCAGAGCCTTTGCTTGTGATCAGCAGCTCTCCATTCAGTGTGAAGATCATCGAAGCGTCATCTAAGTTAATCATGCATCCAACCACATCGCCTGGCTGCCAGGTACGCCCAAAATAGCCGCTCCCTTGATGCCATCGCTGGCCCTAGAAAGAAAGACTTCAGGGTTTAGCAAAAGGGAGATCCCATAAGACTGTCTTTAACTGGAGCAATGACACATCAACCATTTCTGCTCACTGGCAGTAGTACATGACTTCTATAGGGCACTCACCTCTACCAAGGACAATAAATGGGGGAAGGGCCGATTCGACAGAAGAATAAACCTGAGGAACAAGATTCATCTGAAAAGGTAGCCTGAGCCTCCAGATTCCTAGTCTGTGATGAGACCAAGCAGCATTCCCTATACTGGCTGCACAGACACTTAGTCCTTCCAGCTCCCTAGGAAAGGTCCAACAAAATCAATCTTGGACTGACGACACATGGACACTATCCAGACTTACCCTGCTGCCTTCAAACACAAAGGCTTGGTCATCAGCCCCCAGCTCCACGTCCGGCCTGCAACCTGGCCTGGCCCAGCCGACTCGCATGTCTCCTCCGGTCACCACTTCAAACTCAAAATACCACTTTCCAGATCGCACTGCGTAAGACCGCTGGACCCGGAAAAATCGGATCTTGTCTATGCTGACTTTCTCCACGGCAGGGTCAGCTATCGGGAGAAGGAAGGGGTGGAAAGAACACAGTAAGGAAACCAAGGCAGAACCCTTCAATAATTAGCAGGCATTCCTCAATAGGATGGTGTTGGATAATCCAGACGGACCACAAGTCTCCTCTCCAGTATAGCATTCTGTTCTTGATACACATGCATTATCAGCACCATATCTGAACAACAACAACACAAGCTCTCATTTACTGACTGAATGTTTCCTTTGTAGGTAAGTATCTTTAGAGACTGCATATCTTTAGAGACTATGTATTTTGCCTCATAGCAACCCTATGAGGTCAGCAATACGGTTGCCTTTTTACCAATAAGAAAACTGTGGTTTGGATTAACTCACTTCCTAGATCACTTGTTCAAAGGCCATTAAACCGAGGAACAAGGATTTGAACGCTAGCCTGTCTTACTTTAACCATTCAACCTCTCAGCCATTATTTGGTACTGCCTCAGGGGCCTATGGTGTTCCCTGGGTTACGAATTGAGAATGGTGTGTTTACCCGTTTTAAGCTGTTGGATTTACTCAGTGCTAGAATTTTGTTTGGAGATCGATTACATGGAAAATAAGAGAAAGAGTAGTGACCTAGTTTTATGACCACATATTCCCCCAAAAGAGTGGGCTACCCCGGAAAATAACTTCATCTCTGGGTCATAAAAATCCTTGACTTAGAAAATCTGTCAATGGAGCAATACTTTATATCAAACCCGGTCCCCACTTTATCAAAAATAGGGCTCTTCACCCTGAATACCATTTCTAAAAGGTCAAGTGAGACCTGCTTAAGGATGGTATTTCCCTAGACCAGAACCTATTTCGTACATCACAAACGGAACGGACAATCTCAGCTCATTACCTAGTTCTTGATCTGATGGCTCAATGTTATATCCATAACCAACAAACGTCCGGACAGCTTCGCGGAGGCTGTCTCTGTTCGACTTCTTGGTACGTTCATCTAGTAACGCATACGGCACCAGGCGGGGGTTTCTTCTGTTCTTCAAATCCTACAGGAGGCCAGGGATTTGAAAGTTAAAATGAGGAAACCCATTTTAACTTTCCCACAGCTCTTTCTCTGCGCACAGGTTTCCCAGCAACATCCCTGCTTGCTGGCGGGCTCATTTAATGCCTCCAGTGTCTTGGTATTTAGCCCTATGTGTACGCTGGCCATGTCTCTTTAGGATTAAACAAGCATAAATGGACATTTCTTTATAATGTTCAAAGCTAGCATTAAAAGCCACGTTTTTAATCACGCCAGCCTGTGGATGAAAGGAAGGATCACAAAATTGGCTAGAGGCCTCCATTCCCGAGGCAGAGCAGACGGGGATTTGAGAAACTATTCCCCCAGGGAAGATCATGCCATGATTGAAATGGTTACAAGCTCCTCGCAACAGCCTCTTTAGTGGATTCCACAGAGAAACCACAGAAAAGGTGGCAGCGCCATGGTGTGCCCACCCACTGTTACTGCAGAAGGCACGTGTTCATGTGAATGCCTCTCTCAGTTTCTGAGGGAGACTGACACTCACAATGAAATGTTCCCTAGCTGGAGTCTGCTTGAACAAGCACTTTGGAGGCACAGGTCCGACGTAGCAAACATGCACACAGCTATCCCTTACCTTCCTAGATACCAACCCTACCGCTGGGGAGGGCAGAGCGAAGCACTTTGAGGTTAGATACCAACCATCACTTGATTCTTTGTTGCGTGTGCACTGGCTCTGAAGTTGCTCCTTGCTCAAGCCAAGGACGCTGCCCAGGAATCCTGAGCCGAGTAGGATGAAGTAAGGGGGCGCTCACAGTAACCCAGAAGAAAGGCTGCTTCTCCCCTCTCCTGTCTAGCTAACCCCCGTCCCTTCCCCCCTTTTTACTCTCACTGGTAAACATTGTGGACCATATCTCAGAAATACTGCTGACCTGTGACATGAATTTGGAGTGCTTTAGCTTGGTCTTGGTGAGTGGTACGATAGCTCAGCTCTCCACCCTACAAGCAGTTGAGCCTGAGGGTGGGACAAGATGCAGCCTGAGTGGGTCCTCAGGCAGGGTACCAATATGTTAAATGGATCAGACGAACTTAGGGAAAGGCATATCCACCCATTTCTGCCACACTGGAATTGTGGATGGATTCAAACTCAGTGCTCCCGTTCCAAATTCCGCTCTGTCTCAGGGCTCTTTAATGCATGCATTGATGTGTGAGGGATAGCGTGTAAGGGCAACCCCTCTCTTCCAGTCCACGACCAGTAAAGTATAATGGCACATTGGTGGATGACCACATTTCCTACCTTTTCCAGCACAGCTGACCTGGCACCCCTCACCTGTTGAATGCCGTAGGTCCATCCTTGTTTTATTCTGTCTTTTGCCCAAACATTATGTGCATTCTCTGCAAGCTTATCCACTAATATTTCTTGTGGAGGTAACAGCTTCACATCAGATAAATCCAAAGGGGCTGGCTTATAGCCACTGGACATCACGTAGCTGTAAGGAAATGGAAAAGGGTATCTTTTGAGCAGACCTCTGAATGACTCTCCCAGTGCAGAGGGTAGCACTTGGCAAGAACACTGGATGAGAGAGGCAACGGGCCCCGCTCAGGCACTTTGGCGAGATGGATAGCTTGGCTCTCTTTCAAGCCCATAGACGAAGCCCCTAATGGACTTTTTTTTTTTTTTTTTGTCAAAGCAGGTGGGCAGGGAAAATCTATCATTATTCCTAAGCAAACTAGATTCATGTGCTCTGGCAACGATGGGCACCGCCATAGCGCCACACCCTTATCAGGAGCTCCTTTGCTCTATTCTCAAATACAGAATTAAGACCCAGATCACCAAAGACAGGGGCCTTGAGCCAAAGGGTTTCTTAGCAAGCATTACCAAATGATTGCTCATTGAAAGCTAGAGCTCTATTTTTGGAATTAAAGAATAATCAGGGCACTGGACAATGCCTGAGCTTGCAGAAACCTGTGATACACTACGCAGGAGAGGCACAGCCTCTCATCTCTTCTGGTGTTGGGACAATGGGGGGTTGGGGGGTGGGCGGGAAGCCCTCTAGGCCTGTGAGCATAGACAAGCACAACGTGTGATCAGAGAGGAACGGGACACAGGGGGCAGTGAATCCCAGGAGAGCAGCTGCTCCCGAGTCACAGCTGCGTGCAGCCACTCGCAAGGCGATTCCAGGCATGCCCAGGGTCACAGGGCCACTAACTGTGCTGAGTAGGGCCAGGACTGTAGGCAACGACTCTTGGACCAGGGCTTATTCCATCTAGGCGCCTCTGAGCAGCATGGGATGCAAAGCCTAAGGGCGGCATAAGATTCTGTCCCTCCCCAACCTGTCCAGAACTGGAGGGCCTGATCTTGAGCACTGCCAGTATGGGCTCTCAAGGAGAGGACCACGCATGCTTGGCCCCGAAGTCTGCCCTGGCAGCTGCTGCCTTACAGGTGTGTTCCTATGGCATCTGAGAAGGGAGCGTGGGAGCCAAGCAGAGAAGGCAGGTAAGATAAGCATTTGATTAAAACTGGCACTGCTGTGGGCCTGTAAATAATTAGGACACCTGTGTGTGAGTGCCCCCTGTGTTGGGGGCATGTGAGGGTGGGAGCAGGCCAGCAGGGGCATCCGTGAGTAGGTGTCTGAGTGAGTTTGAACTAAGTGGGGGCTCAGAGGGAAAGCAGGACACATGGAGATGTAGGGGCCACATTAAATCTCAGCAGAGACGGCATTTCCACAAAGGATTGATAAGGCTGGCCTGATGCCAGGGAAGCGAATCTGCGCTGGGGCTACCAACCACTTTCAGGCTTCTGTGCCAACTGGCACTCTTATAGACCCAATGCGGTCAACCTGTTTGAGGGCTTGGCACTTCCTAGATCAAAACCAATGAAAAATGGCACAAAGTGTAGGCACCAAGGGATCACTCTGAAATACCTCTAACTCTGCAGTTTCTTACATGGGGATTTCAGTGCAATCCAAGTAGTGGGCACCCTCCTACACTGGCCCTCTCAGGTGCTTCGGGGCTGTCATGTGCATTTTGGGGTTTTGTTTACAGGTACCTCAGTCTCCCAGTTTAAAGACTCAGGGTGATCTGTTGATGGCTTGAGTCATTTAAAGAACCCCACTTACTTTTTGGGCAGTTTGACTTTCTTGAGATCTTCCTCGGCAGCCGGGTTCACGTGGGAAATGTGGCATCCCAAGGCCAGGAGGGTCCTGTGGAAGAACACAGGGCAAAGACTCGGGTTCAGATGCAAGAGGAAGCCCAGCAAGAACCCCAGCCCACTGCAGAGACGACAGCCCTTCGCTGAGACCTGGGTTGGCCAATGTCTGTGACTGGCCAGTGCCGAATCTTTCAGGCTCTGCAGACCAGGCTGTCTCTGTTACAAGTACTCAAGGCTGCCCTTGTAGAGTGAAGGCAGCCATAGATCACGGGAACCAACAAGCTTGGTTGTATTTCAGCAACACTTTACAAACATGGGAAGTCAACCTGTGGATTGTGGCTTGCCTATGTCTCACTTAGCTGACAGGAAATAAGCTACAATCGAGAATGTTTGGTAGGCGTGCCAATTGAATCCCAAATGTGGGTTAGGATTGCATCCTGCTTCTCTGATGCTATGGAACTGGTAGGATCCTAGTATTTGAAACCCAGCAAGCACTGACTACTTGGTAGCTGTAAGCCTTGCACTGTGCTTGCCATCGTAAGGACCAAAGCTGTAACATCAAGAGCATCCGTGCAACACACATCACGTGTGCGCCTTTACAGAGCATTACTAAAACAAGCGCTGACCCATTCTGCACTGACAACTACTGAACAAAGAAGCAGAGTGTGTGTTGCATTGAGCAGGGAAGCACAAGAATTCAAGATGGAAAATTCCAACCTGAGCTATAAAAGGTGGGGTCCAAAAATAGGCTTTTCACCCTGGGTAGAATCCTGGAAGCAGTCCTGGTGTTGATGTGGTTACAGCACTTGGCTGCCAACCAAAAGGTCAGTGGTTTGAACCCAACCCACCTGCTGACACATGGCAGAAAGATGTGCCAGGCTGACCTGGCAACCCTACGAGGTCACTATGACTCTGCAATGACTCACTGGCGATGTTTGTTTGTTTGTTTGTTTGTGTGTGGGAGGGATGATGAAGAACCTAAACATTGTTTTAAAATAGACTTTAATAATCAAACAATGCTTGACCATTGGCTTTTAGAAATGCTGTCTCTTCTTTTTCTGACCGAAGCTGCAAGAGGCATTTGATTCTAAGTTTCTCTCCTTTTTCTCCCGCTTTCTGCCCTTTTCCTTGTCTCTGGCCAAAAGCAAACCATCTCGTAAGAGATCTGTCCGTTAAGTTGTGATAGTACATCTGTCATTCATTACGATAAATCCTTTTGTGACATGAACAAAATCACTCTCTAATGTATCAGGATGTGTCATGTTTTCTAGGCAAGAGACACACCTTTGTAGTTCAGTTACAATGGACGAAACCATCCATTAATTGTTTACTCCAAATGCAATGCAATTCAACACTCACTTTAAGGTTTCCGTTGACATTTGCAGGTTGTAATTCTTCTCTGTTTCGGGGAGCTTTGAGAACTCCACAAGGCAGGGATGTTGTCTTTTATTGTCATCTCGTAGCTAGGTGACAACACAAGAACATAATTTAACGTATGACAGCTGGCACTGCCTTGGAAAACAAAAAAGGATACACATTGAAACATGGCCCTGGCCAACAGATCAAGCAAGACAAAGACAGCTCTGTGCTGATAGGTGAGTAAACGATCCTCTCTAAGTAAATGATATGTAGAGTCATTAAGTTACCGCTGGCCTATGCTCTGGGGATTTGTTTTCCATCAAGTGTCTGCATTCAGAACATACCTTCCCAGAGCATCAATTTTACACATGATAGCCATGCTTATGCTTGTCCAAAATCCCATTATCGTAGTGCTACTGAACATGAAAGACTACAATTTGGACCAGAGCTATCCAACAGAAATATATGACGTGAGCCACAAATGTGGACCATGTTTGTCATTTCAAATTTTCCAGTACAAAGCTGCCAAAGACCAAATCTATTGACAGCGAATCGATTGCAACTCATGGCAACCAGAAGCCTTAATTTAGGGCTTCTGAGGTTGTTAATCTTACGGGAACAGCTTGCCTTCTCCTCCCATAGAGTGAGACTAGTGGGCTTGAACTGCCAACCCATGTAACCGTGCCAACCCACCTTAAAAAAGCACACAAAATTTAAATCCAACCCAATACAAAGTAAGTAAAAAATAGGTGTTACAAAACCTGAGCTCTTCATCAAACAAAATTAAGAAAACAGTGAAGCTCTAGTCTCTTGACAAAGCCACCACCAATGGCTATATCCTTCTGCAGGCCACGTTGGCTGTTTGCTAACTCTTCTCTGAAGCATTTTGCACTCCGTGATTTGCACCATGTCAACACAGCAGTTTTGACATCCTCAGATGATGTTACTTGTAAGTGTGCTCTGTGCTTTGGGAACAAGAAGCCTGGTTGGCAAGATCAGGACCGTACGGTGGATGGGGTAGAGTTTCCTCAAGGAAATTCTTGTAGGACAACCCCTTGCTCCCCTCAGAGGAGAGGCAAGTGGACTATCACGAGGACAACAAAAATCGTTGGATGTAACTTTTCTGATCTTTCTCACCAATGCAGCTTTCAATATTCTTCCAACTTCTTCATAGTAAGCCCCTGTGATTGCCTGTGTCCTTTCCGAAAATCTATCATAACCCTTTGGAATCCCTCAAATCTGGTCTCCATAGCTTTCTGGACAATCCTGTCTGTGTCTGAATTTAACGGGACCAGCAGATCCCTTCAGAAGCTACTATTTCGATTGGATCTCTCCCTTTTTTTCTTCTCGAAGTATCCTAGCACCCTCAAGGGATTAAGGCAAATCTACCACCGAGAGAACGTGTCTGCATTCACTAATTGCAAAGACATGTTTAAGCACATTAAAAAACAAACACTTTATTGTGAATTGGGTGAAAGTTTACAGAGCAGATCATCAGTTTTCCATTCAACAATTCATACACATTTTGTTTCATGTCATTGATTGCAATCCTTATAATGTATCATCACTTGTCCCACATTCTCTGTATTTCCTGCTTATATTCCTCCTTTGCCAACCCTTCTGAATTTTGCCCTTGAGTAAATGCTGTTCTTTTTACCGTGCGTGGCTGATTAGTGTACGGTGTACATACGTATCAAGTGCTATAGTTCCTCTTACATGCCTATTGCTCAGCTGACAATTGAGTGGTGGGTGTGAGTTCCGTTCCAGACAGGAAAGGTAACAAGGGCCATAACCTCAGGGGTTGACCAGTCTTTATCCCACAAGGAAGCCAGGGTTTTTGTTGTGCTTTTGAGTTTTGTTCTCCATTCTCCTCTGCCCTACCACTTAATTTAGGATCTGCTGGTATGATCCCTTTTAGATCAGGTGGTGGTGGTAGCTGGTCACCATTTAGTTCTGGTCTCAGAGACCTGGGGACCAACGTTCATGGGGCCCATTAATCCACTGGATTGTTAAAACATATTTTGTGTGGAATAAACTCACAGATGTATATACTGGAACCCTAGTAGCAATACTTTTTGACTTACTCTTATAGCTCCCAAATGTTATTTTAACATGTGGTCGATTTCAAATTGTGTCCTTGTTGTTGTTGTTGTTCCATATCAAGTCTTCAAATTCCATTATGTATTTTACACATGCAGCTTGTCTCAATACATTTTGAGTGCTCAGCAACCACACGTGACTTGGTTATTGTCATGGGTAGCGCAGGTCTAGCTAATAGCCAATTCATTCATTCCTTTAACCAATACCTGTTGCGCAGGTCTAGCTAATAGCCAATTCATTCATTCCTTTAACCAGTACCTGTTGCGCAGGTCTAGCTAATAGCCAATTCACTCATTCCTTTAACCAGTACCTGTTGCGCAGGTCTGGCTAATAACCAATTCATTCATTCCTTTAACCAGTACCTGTTGCGCAGGTCTAGCTAATAGCCAATTCATTCATTCCTTTAACCAGTACCTGTTGCGCAGGTCTAGCTAATAGCCAATTCATTCATTCCTTTAACCAGTACCTATTGACTCTGTTGACATCGTGGTGCCATGTTGGGCTGCTCTTTCAAGGTTGGCCATTTGAAACCACCAACTGCTCCTCTGGAGACAGATGAGACTTTCTTTCCCATACAGAGTTGAAATCTCAAGTGTGGCGAAGAAATTAGCTTTGCCAATAGAAAGAATCATGTCTGGGGTCTTAAAGGCTCATTTTTAAACAAGCAGCTGTCTAATCGAGGCATTAACTAAGCTCACATGGAAGAAGACCGCCAGCCTGTGTGATACAAGAATCGTAAACAAAATCCAAATAGGAAGGAGGGAACAGTATCAGAGCTTAAATGGTGAACACCAGGTTTGCAGAAGCCCCAAATCCACTTGTAGGGTCCACACATGGATTAAGCCTCTGCCTGGTGAATCTCCTCTGACCATAGATGAGGGATGTGAATAATTTTGCTGTCATGCAGAGTATAGTAGAAGTCTGATTATTATAGATGTAATCAGGTTAAAACTAACACAGATTAAAAACTAAAACCTAACACTAACATATGATCTCCCCTTTTGACCCACTGTAAATTTGTTTTAGTTTTTAAATTTTTTTCTGATTTCTTTTCTGTTGAGATTTTTCTCTGTTTTACTTTGATAATGTTGTTTGTGTTTGTTCTGTCTATGAGATCCAGGAGGGGCAAAGCTAGAGAGACAGTGACTGTATTAATGGTTTCTTGCAGGGTGTGGCAGGGAAGATCAGGGGGACAATGGGGAGCTGATAACAATGAAGACAAAAAAAGAAGGAAATGTTCCAAAATTGACTGTGAAGATGACTGTTCAACTCTTTTTAAATATGATTGAACTATTGAATTATATGATATGTAAATTGTATGCCAGTAAAACTGTTCACTCACACACACACACACACACACACACTTGCAGTCTCAGAAACCTACAAGGGCAGCTCCACCTTGTTCTGTTGTGTCCCCATGAGTCTGAATCAACTCGATGGCAAGGACTTTGATTTACCTGAGTGTCTCCTAGGTGGGAGACTTTGAGGTACACGATAAAAGTTCATTGGTCAGCCCAGCTAGACAAAGTCTCCACCCTCTTGAAACATCTTGTCCATTAAATTGACTACTAAGAAAAATAAAATTGCCCCTGTGGTAAGTTCCCTAAAATTGAGGTCACGGGCATTATGAAAGCGCACAGCAGAGGTGGCCCTCTGCAAGGAGAATGGTTTTACAGTAGCCACATCAATAAGTGCTAGAGGGCAGGGCCCTTTTCAGTAACTAAACTAGAATGGGCATAATATGAGAGTGCCAAGGTTAAAGGACACTTCAGAACTCACCTGTCCTTCTGCCTCAGATATGACCTTATACAAATCACAAAGAAAAGTCAATTTACGTCCTCTTTGGAAAATGTTTTCTACTGGAAACGAGGCCCTAACCTCCTGAAAGACTGACCATTAATCTTAGTAAGGCACACTGCCTGAAACGCGTATTAAACTATGTCCAACTCAAAACAATGATTCAGCCTCTTCACTAGCCATGCAGGAGGGAGGAAATCAGACACCAGAAGGTTCTGAAGGGGGTGCTGAGGGTTGACTGGATCCCACAGCCTTCCTAGTAAAGGGAACCAGCATTTTCTGGTAAGAGGAGATAGACTCTTGGTTCTGTCGAGGAAGAGCTGGCTTCCTCGGAGCTCCTGACTGCAGCCAGACAAACAAGGGAGGCTCCTGGTGGCTAGAGCAAAAGTTAGACAGATGGCAGAGAGAGGGGAGGGGGTTTCGAAGCCTGAACTTCTTATACCAATTCTTGTCTTTCAAGAACTCTTCCAAACCAGGAAGTCCAGTCCTCCACTCCAGCCTCTAATTCCCAAAGCGAAACTCACTGCCCTCACGTCAATGGCGATGCGTAGCCTGGCAATGGAAACATACCTTGCCAAAAGTCCACCCCAGTTCTATTTTATTCATTCCCCAGAGCTCGTGGATATTCTCAGCCAGTCTGTCTCGGATTTTCTCTAGGTGAGCCGGCAGAACAACCTGCAAAGGAAAGGAGCACGTGATGTTAGAACTACAAGGGTCAGATGCGCCACACATCTCTATGGGTCAAGTCTCCCCCACCCCCACTGAATTCACAGTCATGTCGCTTAAGAGGGGAGGCACCTTTCTGACTTCACCCTGGGTGACCCAGTTACTCCCAGTTCTCTTCTTCCTCAAAACTCCTTTCTCCCTTGGCTTCCCCTCTGCTTCTTGCTGCCTTTCTGACCAGCTAGCTGCCTCTGTCTTTGTTTCCAGATATTTCTGGTCCAGGCTTTTCAAAGGAGAATGGTTCCTTGGCCCTTCCTGTCTCCTCTCTCAGGTCATACTGTTGACCAGCTCTGTGCCCATGCATATTCTTCTCACCTCATGAACTCTCCCCACCGAACACGTCACACACACATAGGTGCATGGGTGCACATGCGTGTGCACATGCGCAAGCTCACCTACTGGAGATGATCACTCCCAAGTCGGTTTATCTTGGGGTGTCTCTAACCATGATCTCTCCTGAAGTTCAAACCAACACTTCCAACCAGCTACCAGATTTTCCGAGATGACTTGATTATTCCTTCAAAAAGATTTCTTTAATCTTTTCGGTTTGACTTTCTCTCTTTGTTGGACGACCTCACAATTGCATCTGGGTGTTGTCTTCTCTCTCTCCCGGCAACACCCCTCCTCCCCGGCCTCTCCCTGAAGTGCCCTTGCTAAATAGGCATTGTCTGCTTTCTGGACCATGGCACACGACTGGTTTCCCCAGCTCCCCACAAATCCAGCCCACCCACACAGAACCAGACTGAGGGACCGACAAGTCACATTGTAATAGTCCTGCTGTGTAACCCCAGGTGTCTGATGCTTCTAAGATACACACTGGATTGTCTTCACCACAGTCCCTGAAACACAACCTCTGCAAACTTCTAGAAATGATTCCCCAAAGGCCACACTGCTTCACCACTCTATGCCCTGACACATGCTTCTGGGCCTTTCTAACACCCTCACCCTAGACCTAACACATACACTCCCTTGACAGCACTGGGAAAGCACCCTGGCCACACCCCCCTTCTCCGTTTAGGGCACATCTCACCCCGACGAGCAGCTTTCCCTGTGTTTCAGTCCTCGTGGTCTCCTGGCACTTTGCTCCTCTCTCTCTACAAAGGCCACAGATTTGGGGCCCACAACGTTCCCGTCCCTCCATGCTGCTCCTTTAGACTTCCAAAAATGCTCAATCCTGAAGGATGGCTTTCCAGTTACTTGTGCATAATATTTGCTTTGCATGTAATATGTTCATGCTTTTGGGTTAGTTGACAGCCCCTCATAAATGGGAGCTTTCCTCTCAAAACTCTAGGTTTCTATGTTCTTTTGATCACTTGGAAGATCACTAACCCTGAGCTGACTTTTGCCTGGCAACTGACTCTCTCGGCTGAGAACAGCCACCCAAGTTAGCACGGCCTGTGCTTTTGACCCACATCACCTTCCCACCTTCCCCTTCCTTTCCCTTCTTAGAAGGCTTCTTAGTTTTGCCACCATTAAAATTTGTTGCCTAGTTTCCAGCAGATCCTGGAGAAAATATATTTAGGCAGAAGATGTCTCTCCAGTGTGTGATGTGTTTAATAGACCATTGAGAAAATTCTATTTTTTTAATCCCTAGACTATGTAATTACTATCTACCTTTCAGTGAAAACCAGTTTTGAAGAAACAACTCAGTTTTATTATTGACAGTTGAATGCTAACAAGCGGCATGATTTTATTGTTTGTAAACCATTTCATTGGGGGCTCTGACAGCTCATGCAACAATCCATCCATCAATTGTATCAAGCAAATTTGTATATACGTTGCCATCATCCTTTTCAAAACATGTTCTTTTTACTTGAGCCCTTGGTATTAGCTCCTCTATATGGAGAAATTTTAGCAGTGTCTGGATTCAGTGCTTAAAAACATAATTTCTAAGTTTTCTTTAGTGGCTCCAGCCTGAGAGTGAATTTTCAGGCTGGAGGCATGAGGCTTCAGGGAACAGGAAAATGAGGAAGCTAAGCTAACAAACCATCCCGAATCACCATTTCAGGGACATCAATTTGTGATTACCTGGGACAGTGAACCCTGGCTTGATAACGGCCTCCTGTGTAGCTGGGGCTGGGCTCGAGCCCAGGGAAGGCTAATTGGAGCTGCAGTCCGGTCTGTCTGTACTGAGCACTGGCCTCAGGGTGGTTAGAGCAAATAGCATTAGTTAAGTAATGCCTTAGATGGGTCAGTCAGAAAGCATATCCCAGGATTCTTCCAGTTCCACAACAATATTTCATCTACAAACTGGTTAATGTGCCCTTGGGAGCATGGAAAGTTGATGCTGCCTGAGTATCTAATCTTTAATGTCTACAAGGTCTCATTCCAGATAATGAACTGTATCTTTCCAATAAGAACTTCCTCCTTATTTGATTTTCCTGCAGTTTCCCCCTAGTTCTAGGGTCCTTAGGACTTCAGGCTTTGATACGGACATCAGAGGTCTCTTTCTGGATGGTGGACCTATCCTTGTTCTTCCATGTCCGCACCTGCCATTCTGGGTGTTTAGAAAACTCGACTCGTTCCTTTAGTTTGTGCTCTGGTCCTCTCCCCGAAACTTCCCCCCATTCTCTTGACTCTCTTGGAGGTCAGCTTTTTCTAGGAAGTCTTCCTGGAGTGACAAGTACATTGCTGACGACGTGGTATGGAGAGACGCCAAGAAAAGGAGAGACCGTGCTCCACAAGGCCAAGAGGAGCTTGTTCCCTCCCTGCCACCTTGTGCTGGAAAAGTAGGGGCTGCCTGTCTAATACACAATATACAGGACCCAGGTGATTGAGTTCCAGGATCACCCCAAGTTCACAAGCTCCTCCTCCATCTCCTACCAATATCCACAGCCTCCACCACACTGAAGGTGCTACGCTAGGCTCAGGGAGCAGGCAATGAAACACGGCAGCTTTTCTGTGGGGACTCATGCTCATCAATTACAGGAGCAGAGAAGTGAACCCAGGAACACACACATGTGAATGTCATAAAACCAAATGAATAGTACAGTTGGGTACAGACTCTCGGTTTCCTTTAAATGCCAAAAGAGCTGTTGACCTCAAGAGGCAACCAAAAGCCTCATCATCAAGCTGAGTCAGACTTGGAGTGGCGGGACAGGACAGGGAAGAACTTCCCAGGGGGGCTCGGGTCCTGTCACTCTTCAGAGGTGACAGGTCTCTTTTTCCCAAGGCTGGTGGTGTCGAACCTGTGGTTACAGGTAGATCATTGTGATCGGTTACCCCCTTCTCTTCCCACCTTCCCCATCCCCTCCTGGTATGGCTACTGTCAATCTTGGTCCTGAGGGGTTTATCTGTCCTGGATTCCCCGTGTTTCCAGCTCTTTTATCTGTACCTGTGTACATGCTCTGGTCTAGCTGGATTTGTCTGGTAGAATTGGCATCATGATAGTGGGAGGGGGTGGAGATGGTGGCGGAAGCATTCAAGAACCAGAGGAAAGCTATGTGTGGCACGGGTGCTTTACTCTGTGTCACTGCACCCCTGGACCCTCATCCTCACACCAGCCATTCCATCCTCTCTGCACAGGCTCCTGAAAACATTCTAGTCTCGAGCATGATTCCAGCACTTATTTGCCCATAACATTAAATCTGCACTCATTTTATCTGGCCTTTAAATAAACAACACATTTGCTTCTTACCTCAGCATGGCTCTGAATTCTCAGGAAACAGGGCTTGCGGTATTCCCAAAGTCTAGTGCAGAGACCAGCATGCTCGCTGGTGAGGAATCCTGAAATACCCCAATCTATTCTCATGGCCCTAAATGACAATTCTATGGAACATACAGTATAGAATGGCCCAAAGACAACATAGAAAGATGGATTTAATGCTACTATTTCATCTACATGGATTCCTTCCGACTGACAATTTGAACCTACCTGACTGGTGTCTATGGGACATGGGATGAAAGAGGTTTGAGAGAGGAATTGGGTGGTACCCAGCAGATCTCTGACGCCTTCAATATCACGTTTATATTCTTTGACGGGCTCCAGTCTCATCTTCTCTTTCGGAAGTAAGGCTTCATAACAAGGGGCATAGCCAGAGGGAGGCAGGAACTTAAATTCTCCATGACGGCCGCCCATCAGGAAATGTAATCTGTGTCATGTAGAGAGATCAGGCAAAAGGGGTTAAAAAGATCCCAGTCCAGAGGATTGGAAAGTCACGATCAGTCCCCCTCAGTTTTTCTGGGAAGTCATTAACTTTGGATCCGGCACAAGCATCCTAGAGCAGGCAAACATCAGTGCATCCGTGCCACAGATTACACAACTACAGCATGGAAAAGAGGAATAGGGACTGTTATATGATGAGCTTGCCCTCTGCCAAGCTCACACTATGAAAATTATAGCATGAGATCCCCAAGTCTTCCTCCAGAAAGATGATCCAACATGACATACTAGGGATGTCACTGTATGAGGGGGATATAAGAAATTCTTAAGGTACAGATAGAAAACAAAACAAAAGATCAAGGGAAGTGGTACCGGATTATTAAAGACCAGTGGTATGCATGCCAGGGTGACATTATTTAATAGGAACAACGATAGACAGCAGGAGTTGTGGTTCCCAGCGAAGACATAAGAAGGCAACACTGAGTGATGCCAGTGCAGGCAGGCAGGCAGGATGGAGTACCAGGGTCTTTTTTGACCAGCCCGCTCCCACCCCCCGGGGTTCCTGTGGCTCCCCAGAAGTGTTGATTAGGATCGAAAGTATTAGAGGAGTGGGAGGACATCTGGGGAGCCACGGAAAGGCCATGAAGTGTATCAACATACAACAGTGCCACAGCATTTTAATTCATTATACTGACTAAATACTATTTCATATAGATGAAGGAGCTTCAATAAGTTCACGGAAAACCCCATCGTCTTCTAATCCATTTTTCTTGCACTTTTTCGAGTCCCCTTGTCTGTGATCCCCAAATTCTTGTTGCAAGAATTGCTACTAGTGAGGGTAAAAGCAGAATATTTTAATACAATGCTTACATGGCTCCAGGTTTTTAACTAGATATACCACTGCTTTAACAAATCCTCCGCAACCACACTAAACTGATGAGGAAATAGGACCATCATCTTAAGGAATTAAGTTATGTAGCTAGTTATGTAGCCCTAAAGATTCAGCAAACATTTCATACAGAAAAAATCATCATACACTTACAGGATCTGCATACAACACCCTCTTCTCCCCATTGAACAAATATGTATCCATCAACTACAACTTGCACTTTTAATGCGGTTCCTGAATGGAGCAGGGCTTTGGACCGGTTCCACCCAGTTCAGCCATGCCCAGTGAAGCAAAAGTGAAATCTCCTGCTTGGCAGATGTGCTGCTCTCCACGTGGTGGTAATAAGCCGGTGCCTCCTATCAGGTTTCTGAAGAGGCTCACTGGGCCTGTGCCCCATCTCCCAGTTCTGGCCTTTGACCTGCAATGTGTCCATTTTTGGCTATCATTCCAGGACACCCAGGGGATCTTCATATTCAGGTCTTGTGGGAAACAAAGATTTCTCCCAAGTCATCTCCCCCAAATATAGTATGTTAGACTTAGGATACTGCTTGCAGCTAATGATAAATGATGGTCAAGTTACCTCCCCTTACGGTGGGCATTTCTGTCCCTACCTGCTTGATTGTCAATTTGATAACTCTAACCAGGTTTTTGTCTTGGAACCACCTAAGTCAGGGTCAGTCAAATGAACCTGGTTGGAGTGCTGCTGAACAGTGAGAAAAACACATTCCCTCTTATCTGTAGTTAAGGTACAGCAGGGGTACTCAAACTATGGCCTGTGGGCCACATGCGGCTCATTGAGGACATTCATTTGACCCACCGGGTGTTTTTGTCCCATTTATTTTTTTACTACAAAATAAGATATGTGCAGTGTGCATAGGAATTTGTTCATAGTTTTTAAAAAAACTATAATTCAGCCCCTCCAATGGGTCTGAGGGATGGTGAACTGGCCCCATTTAAAAAGTTTGAGGACCCCTGGTAGAGGAAAGTATGACAAAAATATCATGCCAGAACAAACCATCAGCTTGAGTTAAATATTGAAACTCCTTAATCCTATAACACCAACCACGACATTTTTGTAACATTTAATTAAAAGTATATAATAATATATATTGATAACTATGGAAGTAAAGAATAAAATAAAAATTTTTCCTGAAATTAAAAATTCAGGTGTTATAGGATTAATAGAGGTGGTGGGATCATAAAAAAGGAGCTTAGATGCTTTTTAATCTGAGCTAAATCAGTGAGAGAAGGGAACATGAACGGGACCACTTGCTCTGTCCCAGCCACTTTCTGGAGTGGGCAAAGGACAAGGGGGTTCTGTGATCACGTCTGCTTGCTAACTGGGAAGGCGAGTGCAGACTCGGGCTCCTCCAGTGAGGCAGGTAGATCAGGAGAAGAGGACATAGGGGCTCCCGGTGGCTAGAATAGGGAGAGGGGTGAGTTGGAGGGGAGACAAGGGGTTCAAGCAGGTCTGAAAAGGTAGACAACAGAGGGGGGTGTAGAAACAGGAGGAGTGGAGGAATAAGAGGACTTGGGAAGGGGAGCAGGAAATACAGAGAAAGGGATGGGAGCGCAGCAAAAAGGTGGCCTGGATGTACAGAATCTCAGACTATTTGTGAGTTTACTGGCAGAAATTGTCGAGAGTTAAGAGGATATTGAAATCAAAAGTGTGGCAGGCAATTAAAGTTGTTACTTCCCTGAGCTTTATGACCCCTCCTCTCCTGCTAATCACAGCGTGGCGACCACTGATTTGTGTGTTTCTTCCCTTTCTTGTAGAGGTCTGTCAGAGGCTGCAGGTGTTGTCTCAGTGCAGACTGAGCAGGGAGGGGGCCAGGAAGGGGAGAGAGGGGGAGGGGGAGGAGGAGATACAGAGGGAGATACTCCAGGGAGTCTGAAGTGTCTGGCTCCAGGGAGGGGATGGGTGTAGGAGGCACAGTCACCTCAGCCTTTGGGAGTTGAGGGGGTAGCAGAGGGAGGTGATGTTGGGGGGCACCCATAATATGGAGGAGGCCTTACTGGGGGCGGAGACAAGGAGTCAGGGGGTTCGTAGAAAGATGGAAGGTGAGCACTGCCAGGGGCCTGATTAAGAGAATGTTTGGCTAAGAGATCTTGACCAGGCTGACAAGTAGTAGAGAGGGACAAGAGCGAAGAAAGGAAAAGATCTGAACATATATGACTTCTGATTATTTGTGAGTTTGTAGACAAAAATGGTTGAGGTTGCAGAGAATGTTAAAATAGAAAATGCTATTTTCTGGCTAGCCGACTCATTGTTCAACTGGTATCGAGGCCAAACTTGGTTATAGAAAAAGACCAGGCGTTTAGGGCGGCGATCAGGAGCCAAACCCAATTCAGTACGGTTGGCAGTAGGCACCCAAAAGGACTGTCCTTAGGGGGTTGGGACAGAGGACTTCCCATTGTGTCTCAAGCTGCAGGGGGTATGGACCGAGAAGAAGGGCATCCCCTAGTCCCCATTCGAACCCGTCAGTCAGAAAGTGGTCCAGTAACCCTGAGGGTGTCCTGGTCAGAGTTAGGGACTCTGGAGAGAGACCTGGACTGTCCAGAACAGGAAGGGTCCCTGGCGCAGGTCTGTGGCTTTCCTCCAGCAGACAGGGACCTCAGATCAGAGAGAGACACAATGGAAGCCGAGGAGGGGGAGGGGGACCTGGCTTTATGGCCGGTAAAAATGGAGGTTGGTCAAGCCTTGTTTTAGGGTGAGAGGAAGGGGAAGCAGAAAGTTTTAGAGACAGCACTGCAGGACTAAAGACACAAAACCAGGTAGAAAAGGCTCAGACACACCCTCTGCTTTCCAGTCCATGCAGAATGTGCAGTGTCTGCTCGGCCTAGTGCTAGGATCCTGTTATCAGCAGGGATACCAGGAGGTAAACACAGAGACAAAAGGCTGGAGGCCACATGAGAGAAGATAAGACACAGGGAAAAGGTGGACACGTGAAACTGGCCTTATCATTGCACCCCTTTCGGGGAAAGGCAGTTAATTCCAGCTCCTTTGGTACTAGGGTTGCAGAATAAACCCCTGCAGCAGTGCCATACTCAGCTTTGTAGCGTACTTGCTTTTCAGGGCTTTCAGCTAGTTAGCCTCCCTCGGACCCTATGGTCAAGTATGAGTTTGCTGGTCCTTGGTGTCCAGAGAGACAAATGAGACAGAACATATACAGAGAGACAGTGACCAAAAGTCACTCGTTAGACAGGCTCTAGAGGAGAAGAGAGGAGGGGTGGGCTACATCCCAGCCGAAGCAGGGCCGGGATGGCACGGAGCCCATGTCCCTACCTTTCCCGGGCATTAGGCACCAAATGTAAAGGTGAAACTGAGGTATAGGGAGATGGACAGACATAACTGACAGGACAAGGGGGAACAGAAACAGAAATAGCTTTATTAGGGGGGGAGCTCCTGGACGAGGTTCCGTGACCTAGGCCAACAGGTCAGGGAAGTTGTGCTCAGTAGCTGGGGGCGTGGGTTTTTAAAGGGGTGGTGAGGAATGTATGGCAATTATGGCAATTAGCATATGGGGTCTGGAAACTCTGAGAATTACTTGTCGACTTCTTGTGGCTTTCTTTGAACCCAGAGCATCTGGTTTCACTGGTTATTTTATCTGGTGCCAACTGCTGCTGACCTTTGGGATGTACAGGGAAGCACATGCAGGGCCCAGACCTGCTTCAGCTAGTTCTGACCCGGCCCAAACATTCAAAACTTCATAATAGTGGTAAGGGGTGACGACTCTGTCTTAATTACTTCCTGCTGAGAGGGGGCGAAGAAGGGGGTGATTAAGAGTTGGAAGGTTTGGGGAACGGGTCAGTCGGCAGCAGACTGTAAGAGTGGAGAAGAACTGATTGAAGGTCAAACACTGTAGCTCTGTAGACTGGAGAGTTGTGGCGAAAATTTGTCTTTACCCTTCAGAATTTTTACAATATTGCATGTGGTGAAATTTTACAGCCAATAAGAATGCTGAGGATAGGATAGATATAGGAATTCATCAATTGCTAGGGCATGAGAATTATATCACAGTTGAGTCCCAACTACAGTTTACTGAATGGACAATAGGACAGATATGTGAGGTTTGCCTAAGTGTTGGGTAAAGATAATT